GCTTTTAGTTAAAAGACTGCTGTTTCTGTATGGCATGTTCACAACTTATTTAATTCTTAACGTAGTCTGCTGTGGAACTGAGCATACTAAAGAGCAAAACAGCTCTGGTTTCTCTGTCTGAGGTTATTACTTGCTGTATAATAACACAGGCTTTATTTTATTGGGTTAGTTGTAATTAACTTCAGCACTATGCATTCATATAAATTATTCCCAAACTGTTTTCTTTACATTTTTTGAGCAAGCATGTTTGTTGTTAAACATTTTTTGTTAGAACTAAAGTTACAGACCTCAATACACACACATATACATAAATATATATACACACATATGTATACATACACATACACACATATCAGTACATTTGAGTGCATCATTTAAAATGGCTTTAAAAGTTTGCCTATTGATCATCATTTTAGAATAATGATCTCAATCTGATTTTAAATTGGTTAACAGAACTGATTTATTTGTTAACAGAATTACCCCATACCTTTTAAAAATACTGTCTTCAGCATTTCTTTCCTTGTTTCTTTCTCACAGCATAAGAGGCGGGTGGGGTGGGGGGGAAAGTACTTTAGACACACAGAATTTGCATTTCCTTTCCTTTATTTATTAATGATCCAAAATTTCCCTGTTCTTTCCTTGATTGAAAATGGGATGTCACATCCAAAACGTGTGTATGCCTGTTGGGGATTTATTGGGCACAAAGTGGCTGATAACATAAAATGTGTGTAAGCCAACACAGTTGTATAATTGCTCCTTTTGTGTAGTAATATGGTTGGTTAGATGGAAGTCAGACTCTATTACTAGGATACAAATATGAATATAAATGTAATAAAGGGTATGGAAGGACTGACTACTTATATTTCACTATAAATTAAAAAATAGTTATACATACATTTCTAATGTCTGCCTTGAACCTTTTAGCCTGGAGCAGTCTCTAATGAACAGGCCTCCCCCTTCCTCACTTGGGCTTTGAGCTTCCCTAAAGACTTGACTTGAGACCTCAAAGGGCAGCAGCTGCCATTTGTCTTGAAGAATGAAGTTGCCAAACATTCAGGCTATGTACTAATAGAACACATTTGTACAATTCAACCCCAGAAGCTTGATAGAGGTTTAATGTTGATCATGTGTTGCAACTTGTAAAAGAGTGGACTTTGAGCAACTTTTATCATGAGTTTATGAAAGCAAACCCTTTGCACTGGATAAGAGAAGAATGTGTCTCAGATGAAGTTTTCTGCAAAGTTACATAGTTGGAGAAGAATATATAGATGGTTCATTGCCAAATAAAATTTTTATGGCATGTGATTACTATAACAATGTTAAAAATTTAATGTTACATGCTATTCCTCCATAAATAATGAAGTTCAGTGCTGAAGAGTTGGAATGGGCAGCCCTCTGACTTCACATTTGTGGACTGCTCATTCCAACACTTTAGCAAGAGAGGAACATTTAAACATCAGGAAAGCATAGGACACTGTGATACATGAATTGAGACTTGAAGGCCATCTTTATCCTGTTTCCCCAGCTAGTTGGAAAATCTGAAAGGTTGAATAGAATTAGAAGAATTGGTAGAAATGGAAATACTATTGACCAAAGAAAATAATTTAATTAGGAGACAGTTTTCTAATGACAAAATAAATAAATTATAATGAACATAAAATAACTTCTTGAATGCATACACACATGCATGCAAATGCATATATAATACATAGTTGCGTGCATGTTCCATCCGGACACACTGTTATATCTGATGTTTGATAGGAGGTAAACTGTACAGATCCATATATATGTATTCAGATTTCTTTTCAAGCAGAGGTGTCCAATATGTCAGGAATCTGAAGTGTCTGATTAGATCTATATTGCCTTGGCAGGAAAGCAAAACTGTTATCTGCTCTTGATCACATTCCAGCTTCCTACTCCAATTTCCAGGAATTCTGAATGATAAAAAGATTGCCTAGATCAGATCTTGTACTTATCGCCCAGTTGGTTTTCTGGCAACTTATATTACTGCTTTAATACTATTTTACATTCTAGCTGCTGGTTATGAAATATTAGCACATTTTCTATAAATTTCAGTATGATTATAGAGATTGGAAACAGACAACATACATTTTATAAGAATAGGAAATAGTATCAGTTTATCAGGTATGAAATTTTTGCATTGAATTGAATATTTATTTGGCTAAGTGTGATCAGACATACAAGGAATTTGTCTCTGGTACTCAGTACACATGTAAAGCAACAGAGAGAATAATAATACCAATAAAATACCAATAAAATACCAATAAAAGGGGGAACTGAAGAAGATAGCAAGAGTCAATAATAGCCACAGTATATAGGTTAATTATGGGTTAAAATTGTCAGTATTTCATTGCAGTTCTTTTTAAACTGCTGAAATGACGTTATACTTACTGGATTTCATTAGTGATTGGTTTTGAAGCTGTTAACATTTTTTAAAAAGTTTTTTATTTTTAACAACAAACATAAACACAAAACATAATACATAAACAACGAATAAAACTTTCTGTCAATTGTACAGTATGTCGGTTGGTACATATGTCTTGTGCACGATATCTATAGTCTTTTCCTCTTAAATTTACATTCATATTGCATTAATTAACTTTTCATATCATATTATATTGTTCCTATACCATCATTAGACTTTAATTTCAATTCCATATTATCCTTTGGAACACATCTCAATTCTTATTAATTTTTATTCGTATTATATTTTATTCAAAGATAATCTGTTATAGCATATCATTACTATTATATTATACACCAGTTCCTACTTTTCTATTTAGCCATTGATAGAATAAATCCCATATCTTATAATACTCTTTTTCTTCTTGCTCTCTAATTGCTAATGTTAATCTGCTCATTTCTGCACATGCCATTATTTTCTTAATCACTTCCTCCTCCATTGGGATTTTCTCATTTTTCCAGTTTTGGGCAAATACAATTCTAGCTGCAGTTAATACATTAATAATCAAGTATGTCAATTCTCTATTATAACCTTCAGGTAAAATTCCCAATAAAAATGTCTCTGGTTTTAAATCTATATGCTGTTCTGTGCTGTTAGCATTTTTATTAATACTTTAGGGAAAAGAATAACAAAGATCTTGACATAACAATGCATTTGGCTCCATGAATTTAACTGCAATATAGGATACATATACTGTGTTAGAATGTTAAATTAAACATGATAGGCAATAGGCATTATATTCTTTTCCTTCCCTCTCCTCCACTATTAAACCACATATGCAGGGGTGGGATTCAAATTTTTTAACAAAAGGCTCTGTGGGCATGGCTTAGTTGGTGAGTGTGGCTTGATGGTCATGTGACTAGATGGACATGGCTTGGTGGTCATGTTATTGGCTGGGCATGGCCAACTCAATATCACTCACATCGAAGCATGCATCTCCTCGCCTGGCCTTTCATGACTGTGGGGATGCTGCAACAGTCGTAAGTGGGAAAAATGGACATAAGTCACTTTTTTCAGTGCCATTGAAACTTTGAATGGTCACTCCACACAAGCAAAGTACCAGCAAAGGAGGGAATAATAACTCCAGAGAAGTTCCTGAGACAGGAAGTCTAGTCCTGCCAAGAAGGGTTAATGGAGAGGCAGTTTCTGTAAGCAACACCAGAATGTTTCCTTTCTGCCTTCCTTACAGGATTAGGCCAGTAATTTCTTCCAACAACTGGTTCTCCGAACTGCTTAGAATGTTAACAACCGGTTCTAGCGAATAGGTGTGAACTGGTAGAATCCCACCCTTGCACATATGGGGGAAACATTTACTTTTAGCTTAAAAACATTTATTTAGACTAATGTTGTTTTTTTATAATTATCTATAATAAAGTTATGCTGGATCCAGCTGCAATAATCTTTGTTCCTTTGACACTTTCTGCTTTCAGTAACTATACTATGAAATACTATAGCATGATTCAAAATGAAAGGAATTTCAGCCAAGCACTAATATATGCATGATATCATTTAAATAAAGCGATCAACAATATTTCCCCTCTCTCTTGCCTTTCTGTTTTGAACGAATGTTTAAAAATAGGATTTTTGTTGGAAGAAGAAAAACAGTGTTTGATTAACCGTTACTTTATAGTACTAATATGTATTTATTCCCTAAATATGTATATACTGTACTTAATTATAGGATGACAATTATAGCATGATTGATCACAATTAGATAGTGGTAAATAAGCAATAATTAAAATAAAAATATACACCATGAAGAATCAGTATTTTCAAAGTTGGCAATTTTAGGATGTATGAACTTCATTTTCCGGAATTCCCAAACCAGCATTTGAAAATACTGGTCTAAATGATTTCCTCAATATAAATTGTTAAAAGTCAGAGGGAATTTTGTTAGAAAGATTTGCCTCCAATTATCTCATCATGGCATTATGATAGACATAATTTTTACTAGTTTATACCACTTAGAATTATTCGCCTTGTTGATAAATATTATGAAATTACTATAATATTATCAACGATATTATCAATACAATAAAAAATTAAGCATCACCACAAAAATGTAGTTTGAAAAAATGTTAAATCACTTTGGGGAATGTTTATATGCCATGTAATTAGGGTAACTAAGCAATAGGACAGGAATAATATAATAATAATATAACAATATAATATAATAATTTGCAGATTTTACATTTCAACAAATGTAGGTGTTTGTTAAATGTAGGAATAGATATTAGATAAATAATGGTTCATATATATCACCTACTCCATATTCTGGTTTGTTTATGTTTTTACTTGACTAGACACACATGAAGCTAGCTATAATATTTTGTAAAAATATAGAACAATAAGTGAACTCGGCTTATGTGGTATGTTTTCAGCTCTAGTATTTGGTTCATGGCCTTTTTTTGTGTGTGATAAAATTTTAATTTTTTACTATGTTTACTAGTTAAGTAAAACAAATATTTTTCTTTTAAAGCATTTTAATTACATTTTTATCACTTTTGTATTATAGGAATGGCAGAACTCAATACAGAAGAATGCAGGCCTAGCTTTCATTGAACTTGTCAATGAAGGAAGGTAACTTCCCAGTTAGCTTAAATGTATCCTTACCTTATCTTAGCTTTAATATTATTGTTTTGTAGTGATCAACCATACAAATTTACTTCTGATCACTTACAATTAAGTTTTCAAATGTTTTTATTTAGAAATATACTACACATTCCTTTGGATAGTTAACTTTGTAGGTCTGATCTACTTCTAAATACTCTTCAAAGTCAATACAATGGCAACAATTTGAGATTTAGCTTCTTTTTATTTGTAATCATAGTGTGTTTACAGAAGATACACATAGCTTTAAACCTTCTGAATTGATTATAGTAAGTTACAAGGGCTCGGTCATATTTTCTTTGGTTTAAATACAACAGTTTGTCAGCTAATAGACCTAATATATCACTCTTAGTGAGCTAGATCTTATATTAAATTGATGTATTTTTTCAGATCAGCATTTTTTTTAAAAAATACACATTTATACATAACTGTTTTAAATATAAAAATACATTGCAATTTGCATTATTATTTAAATTATAATTTTACAAAAGGCCTTGGTTATTTTAAAGCAGGGCTGTCAAACTTGCAGCCCATGGGCTGGATGCATCACATACTGCCCAAGCCCAGTTTAACAAAGGGGCAAAAATTCATGATACGTCACATGATGATGCCATGACAACACGAGTTTGACATCCCTGTTTTAAAGTAAATGTTAAAAGAGTTTTCAGTCTTTCAACTGAATCCTGGGAAATGAACCATGCTCCTTCAAGCATTTACAAACAATTTCATTTCCTTTTTAAACATGTTTATTATTAATGCAGTACAGTTCATGTAAAAGTATTATAAAATTATTTTAATATATTAAAAAAATAGTATTATGTCCATATATGAATATACATATCGGGTGTTACAACAAATAATTGTGCCAGAATTTATTTTGAAATTTATTTTTCAAATAAAATAATTTGAAGTCTTGTAAACCAGTATTACCATATAAAAAAAGCAGTATTGGGTCTCAGTCACCAGCAGATAATCGTAATCCAAAACATGGAAACAAAGTAGTCCTAATGTTGAAGAATAAACAAAATTATTTGAAAATTTCACATGGAAAAAAGGCTACGCTTTTATCAGAGTATTGTTATGAAAATCTTACATAATGAATAGTTGAAATACATAAACTTCCTTTTCTCAGTCCATAGGATATTTGGAATTTAAGTTTCTGAGTTCCCAATCATTTTTTATTTTTTTTTGCAGTTCAGTATCTCTGGAGGGGATTTGGTTGAGGAAACCTGCTATAGATTATCTGATCACAAAGGCCCACCAAAAGGGAATCACTAGATGAATGAATAAAATAAAGCTATCTCACTTCTAAAAAACAATTTAAATATGAAAATATTATATAAAATGCTATTAAGTGTTTTTTAATCTATAAGACTATTTTAACATATTTACTATTAGCATGTTTTATATTTTAATATATTTATATCAGGATTTATTACCACCTTGGCAGATAATATATATTTGTAAAACTATACAGATTTCAGAAGTAAACAGTAATAAAATTGACATATATTTAACAACAATTATGCTTATATTGTAGTATAATACCCCCAAATTTAATAGTTGTACTATTTAGCTTTTGATTTCAAATATTTTTGTTGATTCTGAAATATGTCTTAAGTATTGGTAGTAAAAGGGGGCAAATGTAGAGGGAAGAAAAAAAGCAGAAGTGATTTTTAGCCATTGTAACCCATGATTAGTTAAATAATAAATCTACAAATTTCAAAAGAATTCATCCTTGTTGCATAATAAAGGTTTGCTAACCTGGCTTCAATACATGGATATGTATAAATTATTTAATGTATCTTATTATAAATATTTATTATTTATATAAATTATCATATTATTTGTATAAAAATGTAGAATAGAAACAAAAGCTTTATACTGATTGTAAAATAATTATAGAGGTTTTGTGACAAAAATGTATCCCAATAACTTTTCATTAAAAATTATCTGGATATATTTCCTTACAAAAACTCTGTAATTATTTTTTTAAAAATTGATTCAGTACCAAATAAATATATTTGGATTTGATTATAATAATATATAGCTAGTTGAGAACTATGCTGCTATAAACTATTAGTTAATGCGAATGTTCTATGTTCATAATCATAATTACTTCAATAATATCTGATATAAAACTATAATATATATAACTAAGCAGAACGTTAAAAAGGGTAAAGACAATATTGAAAGTAGAAATTATATCAAAAAGGAATCATTTGAAAGGATAGAGAAAGAAATTTAAATAGTGTTTTGTAGTTTGAATTAAAAACTTCCTCTATGAAATGGAGTTTTAGAATTTTGTTTTTTATTTGCAGTATACATTTATGTGTTTTGATCATTTAACTATCTTCAAGCAATTAGATTTCCAATTTCCATTTTCTTTCAAGAATAGTCTCACCTTTTTGCTACTACTTGCAGCAAATACTTATATTCCTTATACGCTTTAATGAGGATGAATCTCTTGTTTGCATAATGGTCATCATTTATGATAGTGGAGGACATTCTGCATCTGCATCTTGCAGAAAACAAAGCTGTATCTCTTGGAGTTAACAGGAAATTTGTTTTAGGTGGTTGATCACAATTAGTGCCTCTGTTGTTTATTCTAATACTAAATTTTATAAAATGTTTTAAATTTATAAATTCACAATTTCTTTGACCTTAAATATTTTGCATTTATAGGTTGCTGAGTCAAACAATGAAGGATCATTTAGTGAGGGTAGCAAATGAAGCAGAATTTATCTTGAATAGGCAGAGAGCGGAAGACGTTCATAGCCATGCTGAATTTGAGGTAAGCCATTTTCTTGGATAATGCACTAATAATTGATTTAGATATATTGTAGTTATAATCTGAGACATGAACACTTCATGTTGGAATAAAAATGAACGGAATTTAGACATAGAGAATTCTATGATTTCTAAAATCAAGTTGCTTTGTAAACAGTACTTGCTAATTATATAATTCTATTTTCTTATTTTTTGTTTTTGTCTCATTTTATACTATGGTTAACACTGCATTGTCTTATTCTTAGAATCTTGTTACAGCTGTGGTCAATATGCAATTTAAAATTCTTGATACTCCAATGTTGTTCATGCTGAGTATCAATATTGCATCTTGAATGATGATATTTATTTTTCTCTGAAAATATTACAGGTGATAAAAGTTTTTTTAAAACAACTATTTTACATAGAAATATAACTCAGTGGATTCAGTACAATCCTAACTATTATTTTAGCTTTCTGTTTTTTGAGTTCTAGATTACCTTCCTTGAAGTCCTGTCCTAGTGCTCCAAGTGTTCTTTTAAGGCCAATAGGTATTCTTGAAAATATGCTAAATTATCTATATAGAGTTGAACAAATAAGCGTTGTTCTTTAAACTATTTTTTTTTCATTTCACCTTTATTATTTTTTAATAAATAATTCAAGTCATACCTAATACTCCTCTACCCTCCTATTTAACAACCATGTGAGATGAGTTGGCCTAAAGAGAGTGACTGGCTCAAAATCACTCAGCCAGTTTTTATGCCTAAGGCAGCCTCTAGACTGGGTTTTGTGTTATGAAGATGGCTATAGTCATCTAGCCTTTTTATCTTCTGAGAATGTCAGTGGGGTTTTCATAGGACTACAGACATTTTTGGAAACAGAGATATTATTGAAACAGAGGTATTATACTTTGGTTCAGAGTATAATGGAATTATTATTATTTTAATTAAATTTATAACCAATTTAGTTACTTAATCAAGGAATTAGTTTATATTAGGTGTAATACTGATAAATGTTTCCATTTTATTTATTTTATTTTTATTTATTTTTTATTTGTCAATTGCTTACAAGATAATAGGTATAATTAAAAACATAGTTATGAATACATGGATACATATAAGAAAAATAAAAATAAAATAAAAAAGAAACAATAGGACAGGGATGGTAAGCACATTTTATTACAAAGGTGATCCATGGTTTCTTTATTAATTTTAAAATTGGTACTAGGATGGAGAGAGTGGCAAACTCTGCAGGGACTAATCTTGTTCTCTATTTCATCACATAACAATATTAAGTGAACTTAGGCATTCTACAACTAAATCATATTCGTGATTGCAATTTTCTTAATTTTGTTTTAAGTAAAGTTGATTAAATTTATATATTCTATTATTTCTCAAACATTTTTAATATCTCTTTGTATATCATGTTTGCACAGACATATATATTATTTCAGAATACAATTTTTAGGGCATTAGGGTGTGCATTTATAAATTATGCTCTTCTAAATGCATCTCTGAATTTATTATTTGCCAACTGCCTTATTTAGCGACTATTTGCCATTTTGGGAGTAATGAAAAAATAACTTTGCAATCAATCCATGCATTTACGACCTTCACAATTATATATAAATATTTGTTTACATATCAGGGATATTTTAATAGGAAAAGCCAGTTACACTAATATTTATTATGAAATTAAAACATAAAAATTAACATGTCAACATAGAACAAACATTAAATATAAATGAAAAGCAATGATTATTTATTTATTAGATTTTTATCCCACTTCTATTATTTAACATATAATTCAAGGTGGTAAATGTACATAATGCTCCTTTCTTCGCTTAACCATTTTTAAAATAATATATTAACCATTTATTTATTTATGTATTTATTTATTTTATTGTGGACAGGCTTAATGTTCTAAAATCTTCTGGCTTCAAGCTAGGCACTATTTAATAAGCTGTCTGCACTTAATCTAGAGCTGGTTATCCATTCCTGCAAACATAAATGCTGTCATATATCTACAGTGTCATTTTGGCTTGTGAACTGGTAGGGTAGGTTTCATTTGTTAAATCAAAGTATCAAGTGTTAGTAGACAGTCCACTGGAAATGAAATATACATCTTTTTTAGTTCATTGCCTTATAATCATTCAACTGGGACAAAGATGACAGCTTAGACTCTGCTTTTATATCAGTGTACTATGATTGACAAAACCTCACTGATTGGATAGCTCCTTTCTTCCAGTTGCTAGTAGTATTTTCTTCTTTAACTGTTCCTTTTTCACCTAAGAATAGATAGAAAAAATAGGAAATTTTATTTTGTTGCACAATTTTTGTAGGATATTTATTATTTTTCTTGGTTTGTTTGCATTGCTTATACCTTCAAAATGCTTAAGAGTGACACTTCTGATGTGAATTTCTCTTGAGTCTTCCATCTAAGCATGATGGTTTAAAGGGTTTAAATGATATCATCTTGATCTTAAGCAGAAAATAAGTATTTTTGTTTATCAAAATCTGAAGTAAAAGCTAAGGTTTTGTTCATGATTAGGGCATTTCCTGTTTAACTCATAGGATATCCATTAATGTCTAAGATTAAGTTTAGTTTCAGAAAGAATGGAATTATTAAAAAATGTGAATGGCAGAACTGAACTGAATCAGTTGGAACATATAAATATAAGTGGCAAATCCAAATGCAGTAGAATTATTGAAGAGAGATTACAGATATATAATTTGCTAATTAAAAACTCCTAATAAGGGAAATATTGTAAATAACCTTTTTCTATGACCTGAAGCTAGAATTCATGCTAAGAAACTATGAATAATTAAAGGATTTGCTTTGATAATATTACCAAATTTCCTGTGAAAAGTTATTCAAAAGCTGTTCTCAAATTATTCAGTCATACTTAATATAAATGAATAATACAATATTTTGCTATTAATATATATCAGTGGTTGCCCACCAGTGGGCCATGGGCCACTGATGGGCCGCAAGAAAATTTTGGTGGGCCACAGAGAAATCTCACCCCAGAGCACCCCCCCAAAGCAATTAATCCAGGCTGAGCAGAAACACAAGGCTGCACCGCCACATGGCCCGCAGGAACCCTCCCCACCCACTCCTTACCCGGCAAACTTGCCTGCTAAATTGCTATTTTACCTTTGTCCGACCGTCAGCTGTTCTGCTGTGCCGGGAGATTTAGATTAGCTAGGAAGCAGGAAATGGTTGGATTTCTTGCTTTCTAGCTAGTCTTTAGATCTTCGGCTCTGCTTTTAAGCACAGCCGAACCTCCCTTAGGACTGAAGGTTCTATTATTCAGTGCAGACTCACAGCAAGCAAATTTTATGTGACAGACTCAGGTAGCCGATGGCAGATAGATAAATCACTGAATGATTCTGTGAGCAACTCAACCTGCCTGCCTGCTTTGCCTGACTTTGGGGAAAAAGTTGCTCTTTTTTAATAAAAAATTCAATATTTACATATATGGTGTGTTGTGAGTTAATTTTGTGAGTTTGCTTGTTAGCAAATTTTATGTGACAGACTGAGCTAGCCAATGGCAGAAAAATAGATCTCTGAATGAATCTGTGATGCTGGGAGCAACTCATCTGCCTGCCTGCTTTGCTTGATTTTGGGTAAAAGTTTCTCTTTTTTTAAATAAAAAATTCAATATTTATATAAATATTTATAATATTTACATACAAGCCATGCCCAGCCAGTCACATGACCACCAAGCACACCCACAAATTAGGCCACACCGACAGAACCAGTTAGTGGTCCCTGGGATTTAAAATTATGAGTTTGGTGGTCCCTGAGGTCCAAAAGGTTGGCGACCTTAAAGGTTACCTGTAAATGATGATGGGGTCAATATGATCTCTGATGAGATTAGGTTCCATTCGGTGGTGCCAAGTTTGTCCTTCTTTTGAGTGTTAAAAAGCTGTCTGATGATATACTGTCCCTTCCATCAATAAAAATTTACAGATAGATTCAGATGGGAACATGGAGGGCATTTTTGGGTGAAATATATCCTCTTCATATTTGTAGGCAACTCAAGAGCCTTATTCCAAACTTTAGTCTAGATGAAAGCCAGGAATTTGGGAAAGAAATCAAGATAACACAATGAAAAACAACAAGAAGAATTTTCCCAAACTGCAGAAATAACAGGGTTGACTTCCATAATCCAGTTGTTCGACCTGAAGAAATTATTTAGCATTTCCTTTTTTTCATACTACTTTCAAGTAGACTCTTTTGCTATTCTTTTTTTTGTTTATGCCTGGCAAAATAAGAATCTGATTTGATAAATACAGTAAATGCTTGTAAAAGAATGTCATTGGAAAACAGTTGCATAGGCATTAACCCATTGCATGCCTTATCTCCAAATAGAAATAAAATAAAAATAAAATATGAGGTTGTATTTTTCCTCTAAGGATATTTCAATCGGTGCATAGCTATTTGATTAGTAATTATATCACAGAACTATAGCCATGGTTGAGAAGTACAAAACACATATGTTTAAGGTGTTTTTCCTTTGTTGAATATTTTAGCTTACTACTTTACTGTTCTGACTTCATCCCTGGAGTGTTTAATCTCTTTCCAGTCCTGATGGTCACCCACAGAGTTTCATGATTGCTGAGCAAGAATTCCCTGGTGCACTTCCAGTATTCTGCCTGTTTTATTTGGTACTTGCTCTTTGGCAGAGATGTGTATCTCATGTATATTGGTTGTGTGATTATTTTACTAGGTAACGAATTCCACTATCAAACTGTTATTTGTTATAATATTTTTATAATATATTTCATAATATTCAGTCATTTGGTCTTCCTGTAATGTAAATTATTATTCTATATCCTATACTCAAAATGCAGAAAAGTCACAATCGGTGTAACATCCATTTAAACATTTGCAGAGTGATTTCTTGCCCTGTACATAGTTCCTTCAATCTCTCCTCATAAGACCCAGTTTCCCTGTTGTTATTCCCTTAACTCTTTCCATTTGTGTAAGTCCTTTTACTTGAGGTGGGATTAATCAAGCAGC